AAAAGAAAAAGGAAAAAAGGAAAAATAAATCAATCGAAAATAAATATTTAAATATTATTAAAAATTGTCCATGTTAGCGTTGACTATCCTACGTGGCATGTCCGGCGTCCACGTCAGATGGACTCAATTGGCAAAACGTAAAAAGGCTTATGATTCAATTGGCAAAATTGAAAGGTTTATGATTGAATTGGCAAAAGTGTAATGGATTTAGAACTTTTTCAATAATTTTTCCAAAATATTTGTGTTCCTCCCTATAAATTGTAGTTTTAATCATCGGTTCATCTATTACGTATATTATAATTAATTTCTTTTAATGTTTTTAGTTGTTGTTTTGATTATTGTTTCGTCTATTCCTTTGATTTAATTACTTCAGTAGTTTTAATCTCTCTACACGATTGCTACCAAATGTATCTTTCGTTTCAAGTCACATTCAATTTCAATCAAGAGTTTCTATCACGGTTCTAATTTAATTTCTCAAAGCATGCTTTTCCATTTCGCGATATTAGTTTTGACTAGAGTTTTGTCATTTGGATGAATTGCTAGCCTTCTTTGTTTCACTTAAAACAATGATAATTCTCAAGACTTTTTTGTTATTTAAAGGCTGAATAGCTCTTCTCGTTCAAGGATTGGATTTGAATCATCACACTTACGCATTATTTTGTGACCACCCTCAAGACTACATAGTTATTGAGTGTATGTGGGACGAGCCACGCCCAATGCACGCTTGATGCATGCCTAGTGCACGCCTATTGAGAACTAATCGGGTGCTCAAAAAACTTTGAACACTCTGCAGGACAAACCTCAGAGAGAGGGGCTTGAAGAAGGTAGTAGGGAGAGAAAGTGAAAGCGGGAAAGCAGCTGAACCGAGCGTCATCTCATAATCAACAATAGCCGCATAATTTCCAAAAGAATAAGAAAGTGATTATACCAATTCTATGTACTAAAATGCCTTCGGCACCCCCCAGCATCTCGCATGTCCAACTATCCCGCCTTAAGAATATTTATTGAATTATTCCTTCGTGTCATGTGCATGTTTAAATCTTATCGCTCCAATTTCTTCTTCAGCATTTGAATTCTATTCTAGGCTAGCCCATGCTCAGTGAGAACAACTCAACTATATATTTGCTTTTTCTGTATGGAGAAAAAGTTGTCTATTAATTTAATTTCTCAGAGCATGCTTTTCCAATTCGCAATATTAATTTTGACTAGAGTTTGTCATTTGGATGAATTACCGCCCTTCTTTGTTTCACTTAAAAAAACATAATTCTCGAGAATTTTTTGTTGCCTAACAAAATCCTCCCTTTCAAAGGCTTAACAGCTCTTCTCACTCAACATTTCGATTTGAATCTGGGACCATCCTTAGGACTACAGGAGTTACCGAGTGTATGTGGGACGGGGAGACTGCCACGCCCAATGCATGCTCAATGCACGCCTATTGCACGCCCAATGCACGCCTATTGCACGCTTGATGAGAACTAATCAGATGTTCAAAATTCATATCGGGAGGGCTGGCGACATGCCCCCGACAAATCATTATTGAAGTAGACCCTCTCAAATTGACTCTGCGAAATGAGTGCCCGGATATCCGGGACTGTCCTCCTCGCCTCCCTTCCGAGATGACAACGCGCCTTCAGGTTGGGAAGCCACCTGTAGAAGCAAGTTTTTTTGGCTCTTTCATGGTATTCCAGCGTGTTGCGCGCCTTGTCGGCGACTGTCTTCGTGTCTGCCACCCATTTCTCGACGTCGGCTTCAATCTGCTTCATGTTGTTTCGAGCGTCGTCGACTGAATGCCGCACCCTTTGCCTCGTGTTATCCAGCTCCACAACCCACTCTTAAGTTGGCGAACGTAGCTGTCATAGTATGTCATGTAACTGCATGCACGACCGATCGGGGCCAGCAGGTAATCCACCAGCTATAGGCGAAGTAACAATGTCTATTTTTTCCCTTTCTGAAATTTATCTTTCCGGTTCTCTTTTCTCCTTTTTTTTTTTGGGGAGAAAGGAAAGTAAAAAAATTATATATGCAGTTAGGAAACATAGTGAAACATGGGAATAAGAAGCAAGCTCACCTTCCTTTTTTATCATTTTGATAGAGGGGTGGAGAAATTGGACATAACAAACTATTCAAGACCAGATCAGCAAAGGAAACATACATGTTGAAAACAATGAGGGATCTACGAGCGAGGGCTCTGCTTTGCGTTATTGGAATGTTTGCTTTGGCTTACTTCCTAGAGTGATATCTCGGAACAATCCATGCCCTTCGGCAGCTGGAGATCTTTTTTTCAAGAAGAAAGGTTACTGGACGGGAATCAGAGGCTTAGGCTGAACAAGACAAACTGATAGAGAGCAAAGAGGCAAGAGTGAGAGAGGCTTGAACACATAGTGAAGGGGAACGGGCCCCCCATTTCTGTTTATTACTCAAAGTGCGTTCTGCCATGCTTAAGCATCCCGGTTAAGAAAACTACCCAAAATGCTCCTCCGACAATGCCATTTCTCCTTCACGACAATCCTGGGATAAATAGAATAACATGGCAGTTCTTTGGTTGCCGTACCTGTAATAAGAGGATCAAAGGTTGGCCTGTACGTTAATAGAAACTATAATCTCCATAAGGCATGATTTATGACAGAGTTCTTTAGTTGTTGTTTTGATGAGTAAACACCATTGACAATGTAAGGTCTATAGACTGGGTCATTAGATAAGCATAAGATGTGTCATGTGTACATGCATTAGACAGGTCAATGACACATAGATTAATGTTACCCTACTAAGGTAAAACGAGCTAAATCAGTTCAAATACACAAAATGAATTTTTTTTTTCAAAGTTGAAAATAATGACTAACCCTGTACGCTCAATGCACGCCTATTGTACGCTTGATGAGAACTAATCGGATGTTCAAAATTCATATCGGGAGGGCTGGCGACATGCCCCGACAAATCATTGTTGAAGTAGACCCTCTCAAATTGACTCTGCGAAATGAGTGCCCGGATGTCCGGGACTATCCTCCTCGCCTCCCTTCCGAGATGACAACGCGCCTTCAGGTTGGGAAGCCACCTGTAAAAGCAAGTTTTTTTGGCTCTTTCATGGTATTCTAGCGTGTTGTGTGCCTTGTCGGCGACTGTCTTCGTGTCTGCCACCCATTTCTCGATGTCGGCTTCAATCTGCCTCATGTTGTTTCGAGCGTCGTCGACTGAACCTGTAGAAGCAAGTTTTTTTGGCTCTTTCATGGTATTCTAGCGTGTTGCGTGCCTTGTCGGCGACTGTCTTCGTGTCTGCCACCCATTTCTCAATGTCGGCTTCAATCTGCTTCATGTTGTTTCGAGCGTCGTCGACTGAATGTTGCACCCTTTGCCTCGTGTTATCTAGCTCCACAACCCATTCTTAAGTTGGCAAACGTAGCTATCATAGTATGTCATGTAACTGCATGCACGACCGATCGAGGCCAGCAGGTAATCCACCAGCTATAGGCGAAGCAACAATGTCTATTTTTTCCCTTTCTGAAATTTATCTTTCCGGTTCTCTTTTCTTCTTTATTTTTTTTTGGAGAAAGGAAAGTAAAAAAATTATATATGCAGTTAGAAAACAGAGTGAAACATGGGAATAAGAAGCAAGCTCGCCTTCCTTTTTTATCATTTTGATAGAGGGGTGGAGAAATTGGACATAACAAACTATTCAAGACCAGATCAGCAAAGGAAACATACATGTTGAAAACGATGAGGGATCTACGAGCGAGGGCTCTGCTTTGCATTATTGGAATGTTTGCTTTGGCTTACTTCCTAGAGTAATATCTTGGAACAATCCATGCCCTTCGGCAGCTGGAGATCTTTTTTTCAAGAAGAAAGGTTACTGGGCGGGAATCAGAGGCTTAGGCTGAACAAGACAAACTGACAGAGAGCAAAGAGGCAAGAGTGAGAGAGGCTTGAACGCAGAGTGAAGGGGAACGGGCCCCCCATTTCTGTTTATTACTCAAAGTGCGTTCTGCCATGCTTAAGCATCCCGGTTAAGAAAACTACCCAAAATGCTCCTCCGACAATGCCATCTTCTCCTTCACGACAATCCTGGGATAAATAGAATAACATGGCAGTTCTTTGGTTGCCGTACCTGTAATAAGAGGATCAAAGGTTGGCCTGTACGTTAATAGAAACTATAATCTCCATAAGGCATGATTTATGACAGAGTTCTTTAGTTGTTGTTTTGATGAGTAAACACCATTGACAATGTAAGGTCTATAGACCGGGTCATTAGATAAGCATAAGATGTGTCATGTGTACATGCATTAGACAGGTCAATGACACATAGATTAATGTTACCCTACTAAGGTAAAACGAGCTAAATTAGTTCAAATACACAAAATGAATTTTTTTTTTCAAAGTTGAAAATAATGACTAACCCATAAATGGCTATGAGACAGTGAACTGGAGTAGTATATGTTTAGATGAATTTAAAGTTTCTAAATGCAGAGATGTTATTAAGATGAGCAGGTTTAATGGTCCAAAATTGGATTAAGATAATAAAATTGTAAAACATCAAGTATGGTTTTTAAATACGTACCGCCGATTGACTTCGATGATCAAGGTTTATTGACAAGAAGCATAAATTGTTTTTTAATTAATAAGTTAGATAGATATTAGATAATAGGCCAAGGTGGATTTATTTCTTATTCTTTTTGAATCTCAACAACCACGTAATAATCATCTTATTTGCATATGGATGCTCGGCCTAATTAAAAAAAAACACCAACTTTATTTTGAGTGATAATTTTGGCATGAAGTTTTTTTTACCACATAAAAAATCATCAACTTTCACTTAAATTTCAAATCTGACCTGAACAATTTAAAGATTTCACATCACAGGAGCTAGATTCGGGACTCAAAATTGGTGGTTTTTTTTTTTTTTGAATTAGCCCATGGATGCTCAGCGTGAAAAATACAAAGAACCTGATTTTGCTATTTCCAGATTGCTTTAGTGCTTAACGCGCACTATAAAACCCCCCGCCCAAAATAATTCCCGGGACGCTCCGCACAGAAATGTGGCGGGAAAATTGGATTGGGATTGAGCCCTAGAGGGAAGCGCGTCGAATTCTTCTTCAAAGGCGCAGCGGCGAAATCATCGCTCGGAGCAAAGGCCGGCCCTTCCCGCATCGATCGGGAGCTCCGAAGCAAGATGTGCCAGGTCGAAACCCCAGCGATCGTCGACGAGATCGCGGCCCTCGTTTCCGATAAGCTTCAAGTGGTACCGTTCGCTTCTTTGCCTCTTTCGATTTCGATCTCAAGTTGTTACCTTTTTCGTGTGTCTCCGATCTCTCTCGATTCGATGAGGGAGTCTTTTGTTCTCCCGCTCCCTCCAAATCCCCCGATTTGTATGAAGATTCATATGCCTTTCACGCTGTCGGGATTGTAGGGTAAATATGGATGGAGTTATCGGAGAAGTTGCCTGCTGGCGAGCGTAGATCAGTGACTAGTTTTTGACGTGTTTCCCGTTTTCAGGAGAGACAAAAAAAGATTCATGTCTTAGTCCATATCGAGTGTTGATGCGCTAGGAGAAGAAGGGTTCTGTTGTGTGGCAGCTTTGAATTAATCTCTATGGAGCTGAATCTGTAGTGTTTCTCCTAGCCCAGTTCTTCCGCAGGATTTGGTTTTCTAAATGTGGGATCTTGAAAGACTGGTGTTGAATCCGTAATGGCTTTGTTTCCTTTGTGGGAAGCGATGTTAAACCTATTTTCCCATTAATTCAATTTGTTTGAGTTAACATCATCTTATCCCAATCTCGCTTCCTTCTGTAAGGACACCAATTATTCTGCAGGACTTAAGGGAATTGTTCCTTTTAGCAATTTCTAAGCAATTTGCATTCCTTCTTAGGTTTCATACAAGTGGTTGAGCCGCAATTTCTTGGTATCTTCAAATACTGCAAAGAGGTTAGCACTGTCTTCGTAAAGAATGATTTAGAATACATGAGTTTGAAACAGCACAGCTAATGGTTACTTTCTCTTCAGGTTGCTGCAAGAATTTGTTGAAAGACATGGAGACGGATTGGAAGTAGTATACTCCCTATCTGGATGGTTAAAGGACAATCCGCCATGTTACCATATCAAACTTGTTTCTGGGCCTAAACTTGCTGGTTAGATTTTATCTTGTGTTGCTGCCTGATATTTCTATTGGTTTGATGCCTATCTGACCTCCCGAGATGTGTTATCCATCCATTGGAGATGGGTCTTCCTGAAATAACCAAATGGATTTCTTATATTCATATAGTTACATTGGTTTTGACCCTTGATTCTTCATTTTATGATGTCTCAAGGAGCTAAAATGTGCAGTGACTGATAGTTGTTTCCGACATTTATAACTAAAAGCCTGCCTTTCGGATCTTTTAAGAAAGAGAGCTTCTTTGCAGTTTTTTTATTCTTTTCGAAAACATGGGTCAATTGGCAATATGCTGCATAGGTAAATACCGGTTGATTTTGAGAGACTACTAGATATATAGGTTTTAATAATTTTTAGGGGCTACTAGTAGTAGAAAATGAATTTCGCCAATTTGAGATTATCAATTATTTCATGTCAAAATGATATGCCCGATGGGCATGCTTGAGTTCAACCATTTGTTACGAAATTTACAAGCAGACAGATTGATGCCTTGAATTGAGATTTGAACAGTCCCGCTTGTTACGTGGATGCTTATACAACTTGATTTATGGATAGAACTTCAAAATTGAACAGGGATCTTGTTGACTTTGTGGTTGTTCATTTGCTTGTACAGATATGAGAATGTGTGAGCTTTATTCCCTCGCCTGCTACATATTAAATGTCTATTCCTAGAAATTTCATGGTTTGATTAATTAGTTGTTTTATTAAGTTCATAAGGGATACTTACTTTGCTTGATGTGTATGCAGAAGCCAGGGAAGAATTTGACGGTAAATGCTCAGTTCAAGTCTATAGTGTGCAAGCTTGCATTCCGAAAGATCCAGCTGCACTTTGGAATGCTGAATTTGTGCAGGCAGAGGAGCTTTTCAGCCAGGATGCAACCACTGAAAATTGTCTGAGAGATAACAGGTGTGATGCCTTGGTTCAGGTTTCTGAGTATCTATATGCATGCAGGTGTCAGTAAACATAGAATTTTGACAAGGACTAAACAAACGACTTCTCTGTGTGATTTTTCAGGTTCTGTGCGGTAGCTAATCCCTTTGTTAAGCGAAGTGCAGATAGGGAATTATCTGACTTGGGAGCTCCCAAGCTGAATGGCGCCAGAGCCTCAGGACCATCAAATACTGTCCATCAAAAGGTTAACCCACCACAACCAAGAAAGATTGAACAGACAAGCCAAAAAAAGTTGGAGCAATCCGTTGATGTGCTTAAGCATGCAAATAGTGAAGGTAATGGTGCAGGAGTACATGATCAAGCCAGCAAATTGCCTGCAGACAAAGAAAAAGTCACTAACTTGCCTGCGAGTAAAAAGTTGGGCCAGAATGGCAAAAACTCTTCCACAGCTGGGGGTTCTCTGGCAAATCTATGGGGCCGTGCTTCCACCACAACAAAATCAAGTGCTGGCCCAGCAGAAAATAGCAGCTCTGCTCCAAGTTCCACTGGTTGGTTCCTTCGTCTCTTTCAAAAGTTTGCTTTAATTCTCTCATGTCTTGTAAAACATTTTTTTATAAAGACCATTACGGAGTTCCTTCTGTTAATGGAAAATATTTCTTCATCAGTTAGTGCAGAAGCTCAAATATGTGCACATGAGGCAGCAGAATTGAACAGCGATGATGAGGGTCAGGATGTCAATTTTAAGAGAAGCTCCAAAACCGAAGGCGGTAGAAAAAGAAGAGTTGTATTTGATTTTTCAGATGAAGATGAGAATGAAGATGCAGTCAATTTGGCATCACCTGATTTTCCAAAAGCCCGGTCTATCCTCGCTTCAAAAGAGAGTACCAAGGAGTTAGTTTCCAAGAAGAAGTGCGAGGAAGATAACATGGAAGTTGATGAAGTAAAAGTTAGCGAGGAAGAACACCACCAGCCACCAAAGGAAGATGTTTCTGCCGTCAGCAGAGGCATGAACATTGGGATGTGCTCTTTGAAGGGCCAAAATCGTGGTTCCTCCAAGGATGTAAGTAATAAAGTGACAGATTCTGCTCCAACCTCACCGAAGAGGCGAAAGGTTTTGAAGACTAGAATCGATGAACGTGGGAGAGAAGGTAACTCAATGCTAATTTAATTTTATGGTTCACATGTCTACTTAGCATGCTGGTTTTATGTAAATATGTTGGGGGTTTGATAGGAAGGGACGGATTACTTAATAGAAAGTGAGGGCAGTTGCCTCTGCTCACGTTTTGAAAGATGTATCAGGATAGTAGTAGTTTTATAAGGATTTTATTGGTTGTTAAGTTTGTGAAGGAATTGCTCAAATCAGTAATTTTCTGACAAATTTCTGGGTTCGGCCCCACATCTTTGGAAAGCTTGACTTTGCTAGATGGTTAGCTGTTGTGCATCTGTACTTGATAGTTGATCCTGTAGTAATTTGTCTAAGAATGTGAGCATACAAGAACTTTAGGCATTATTTAAATCAACAAACTTAATCAAAGCACATGTACAAGTTTGCCCCCACTGCTTAAAAATTTCTACATCCGTCCCTGTTGATAGGCATTATATATTTTCTTTTTTTCGGTGTAAGTTAATTTGTTTATCCAAAGGCGATACTGGAGTCACCAATTCTATGTTACAAACTCAAATACACCACAAAAACCACTTACAAGGCAAATAGGCATTACCTGCGCATCTTGAGTTTTTTGTATGTTATTTATCAGTAAGTGGTGTCCTCAGGTTTACCTCTACATGTTCTTGAGTGCATCTTCTTTGCAGTAACCGAAGTGGTCTGGGATGGTGAGGAAGAATTGAAAAAAGCAAACTGTACTACAGCTGACAAACCTAATGATGAGAGAGCTGCTGACACCACGAGCAGGTTTGTTCTTCTTCTGTGGGTTGTCTTCGTTCTGCAATATCTTACATGACCTTTCTTTGGGGAGAAGCTCACATTAGTATAGTAGGTTTATACCTGCTTATGGAGAGCTTAGATGGAGTGATTCGTAAATATCTTATGCTGTTAGATGGCCATTTTCTTCGGTTACAATTAGGCAAAGATGAAAGCTTGATTGATGACTCCTTCCAATCTGCTTTTCCTTCATCCTTCAAGCCTTTAGAGCTTGTCTAGTTAAAGGAGGTTATCTGGATATTTCTCCTCACTTAATTTGATCAGTCTGCATCTTTTAAACCAAGCCCCAGGTCTCCTTATTTTTCTCTGACTTCTCATGCCACATCAAGTATAGAAACCACGTTATTCAGAGACACAACACAATTAGCTATTAGCAACACCCAAGTCTGGCATTCTTGTTGGTTGAGTTAAATCAGTGGAACTAGAATATCTGCTTTGAGCTTGACCGCAGGGAATGGTGGCTGTCTCAAAAAGGACTATAGCACCAAAATTGACCATCATTCTGGATCTATGGCATTAGATGCTACTGGAGATTTTGTCATTGAATGACAGATTGAGGCTATCACAGGAAACATAATCTATGGTACTAAAAGATGGATCTAGGCTACTGTCATGCTAGCCAGTTTGATTCTTGGCACATGTAGCGTTTCTCTTATGTTTAGCTCCTACGCACAATTGCTTTAAACACATTTGTGAAATCTCCAGGCCTCCTGTGACAAAGAAGTCCCCGGCAGTCATTCCCACATGTCCTACCAATCCAGTAGGCAAGGCAGGAAACAAGAAATCTGCAAGTCTTAAAGATCCTAAGCAAGGCAACATCTTGTCCTTCTTCAAAAAAGTTTGAGGACAGCTTGAGACACTGTATTTTCTCTATCCCGTATTCTTGGTTGTGATCTCCTCTGTGTACATGTAAAAGTTTCATGCAATTAGTTCATTACTTTAGTTATGAACTTTTTGAAGCTCCGCAATTCGGGATGGTTTCTATCAGTGTACTTTTCTCTGTCCACGCTTTTCGTGTTCACATATCGAGAGAGGAATGAAACATTGCTCGGACTAGAGAGTCGGCGTTTGACTAACAGCACATTGCCTAGCAACTCGATGAATCGAACCGAACAATACTGGTGGCTTGGCGTGCATTTACTTGTTATTCATCATGTGTGGAGGTTGGTGTTGGCTACTCAAATGGATATTGGATATGATATGCTGAATTTCTGTGAAGTCTTATAAAGGAATATCGTTGACCGTACTCGTATTATTTATTAATACCCTACATAAACTTTTTGCTGCTGGTGAACGGATCGAATGGACAAATTATTATTTTCTGGATTGCTAACCGCAATTCTTCTCTTAATACTCTCATATTACGAAATCGATTTGGCCCTTTCCTTCTTATTCTAATGAGAATATTGGGTTGGTAAAGGCTTCTCCTTTGAACAATTCAACACTAAAGAAGCGAGCGTTGCACTTGGTAAGCACGGGGCGTGATAAAACTCAAGGTGGACTTGAAAGATTCAATAAAGTTTCGCAATTTAATTTTATATAGTTAAAGCTCAAGCTGGAATTGAAACATTCACGGTGGCACATTTTTCCATCTAAAAGGAATTATTAAGACAAGCGTTGATACCTTTCCCTGCATATTATTTTTCCATTGAGATATGTAGTGTGAACCCAAAAAAATAAAAATAAAAATCAGTTTATAGAGCGCAGCCTTTGTTGATAGTTCAAAATCGGGCCTTCGAAAATGTCAAAGACGGCATTAGGGATCCATGCCTCACTAGGACTCGGAAGCCTCTCGCCACGCCAGCGGCCCCCGACACGTGTCGTGATCTCACTCGTCAGGCCTCGTGGCCTCGGGCCCACATATAAAACCCCCGATTAAACTCTATACAAACCCCCCCGAACGAGCACTAAATCGGCCTGAGTCTCGACCTTCACGATCTTCTTCTTCTCCAGATCTATCAAAATCTCTCCATCGATCGAGCTCGAAATCTCCAGCGTCCTCAAGGTTCGATCTCTGATTCGCTCTTCCTCTGTGCGATTTCATCTGTCGAGATGCGTTTTCGTGTATGAATCTGCTGTCGATCGAGTGATGTTCTGAAGATGTTGACCGAATCGCGCGCGGTTTGGGGGTTTTTCGCGCGACGAGATTTGGTTTGGGGGGGGGGGTGTTTCTTGCGCGTGTGTTGGGATCGATAGCGTCGTGTAGGGATGCTTGGATCGAGTCAACGCGAAGGAAAAAGTTTCTACTTTCCTTGCCCCTCGGGAACGTGTCCGTGCATGGCGATTTGCGGGCTCTGGAATTGCTTCGAGGTGGACTGAGTGGTGTGATTTTGTGTTTTGTGGTGGGATTCTTGTGTGCTTGCGCATGGAGAGTGGTTCGGAGCCTCTGTGCCTTTGACTATGTCGGGGTAGGGCATTAGTTTTGGAGAACAGAACCCTTTGTGATGTCAATTGTATTTGGTGTTTGGAAGAAGTTGTGCAGAGTTGTTGGAGAGAGTTCTTGTTTCCGGTTGAAACATATGAAGACTCGAAAGAACTATATGATTTTGTTGCGGGCTCTGCACTCCTTGCGATCCGAAAGGAAATGTATAAAATAAGCGTATTGATTTTTTTTACGGTAGACCGCTTATTAAGATTAGAGTGGCATCGCGAAAAGTTTAGAGCTTTTAGATGGTTCGCGTCCATTCTTTTAGTAGCTTGTTCATTCTGTAGCAGTTGATTTTCAGAAATTTTATAGATGTTGGAATCGTAAGACATGGAGAGCTTTTTATATAGTGTTGTTTTGAACCTGGTTTCTTATTTATATCTTGTGCAGGCCTTTGGTGGATTAGTGTCCGGGAAATACCATGGGTGGTGGTTTCAGAGTGCTTCATCTTGTCAGGCCGTTCCTCTCGTTCTTGCCTGAAGTTCAAAGTGCTGATAGGAAAATACCATTCCGGGAGAAAGTCATTTACACCGTCATTTCTCTCTTCATTTTCCTGGTTTGCAGTCAGCTTCCTCTGTATGGCATACATTCCACCACAGGGGCTGATCCATTCTACTGGATGCGTGTTATTCTTGCTTCCAACCGTGGAACCGTTATGGAGCTTGGTATTACTCCTATTGTGACATCTGGGCTTGTGATGCAACTCCTGGCTGGGTCAAAAATCGTCGAAGTGGACAATAATGTCCGTGAGGATAGAGCTCTCCTGTAAGTATCAGTTGAAGTAATTTATTTTTTCCAGCACATTATTATCTCCAGTGCTGGTTCTTTCTCTTTTAATACTTAAGCCTCTGTGATGTTGCATTTTTCAATATCCCATTCATTATTTGGTACTGGTTGATGCTTTTGGCTGCTGCTTTGTTATGGATTGTCACTAATTTTTATGCTTGTGGAACTCCTATTACTGAATTAGCTTCCTACTTCTTATCATCTTTGAAACATCAGTATGTGTTGAAAAGATACCTCTATCTTGCAACATGGCCCATATTTTGAATTTAAGCTATCGGATGTCTTTATTGGAAATGAGGACATCCTTTTCTGCATATGACCTTAGTCACAGTACATCAGTTTTTCTACTTGATCAAATAGTGCTTCTGTTTTTGTTGTGTGCCTCCTCAATTTACTTCGGCAAATTTTATTTTCTTGGCTTTTTTATTTCCCTTGTGCGAGCTGAAATGGTAACTTCTTTCTTGCAGAAATGGAGCTCAGAAGTTGTTGGGCATTTTGATAGCCATTGGTGAGGCTGTTGCATATGTTCTTTCAGGAATGTATGGAAGTGTTGGCCAACTTGGTGTTGGTAATGCCATTCTCATCATTATTCAACTATGCTTTGCCGGCATCATTGTTATATGCTTGGATGAACTCCTTCAGAAAGGTTACGGTCTTGGTTCTGGAATCTCTCTTTTCATAGCGACTAACATCTGGTAAGTTTTCCTTCTTTTTTGCCTAACTTTTGCAGGTCTATTTATGAGCCTTTCTATTATATACAGTTGAATATATAAGAAAGCTCTCGAGATGTTTTGACCCGGCGCCTTCATTCCTAATTCGATTGTATTACTTTTGAGAGAACATAGAGTGTCTGCACCTTTCTCATCCGTTCATATCTCCTTTTCAGTGAAACTATAATCTGGAAAGCATTTAGCCCGACAACTATCAATAGTGGACGAGGAGCGGAATTTGAAGGTGCAGTCATTGCTCTCTTTCATCTCCTCATCACTCGTACGGACAAGGTTCGCGCTCTGCGGGAGGCTTTTTATCGACAGAATCTGCCAAATGTCACGAATCTGCTAGCCACTGTCCTGATATTCTTAATAGTCATTTACTTCCAAGGATTCCGTGTGGTTTTGCCTGTGAGGTCAAAGAATGCTCGGGGACAGCAGGGTTCGTATCCAATCAAATTATTCTACACGTCTAACATGCCCATCATTCTGCAGTCAGCTCTTGTATCCAACATTTACTTCATTTCTCAGGTACTGGAGGTCACATTTCTGTGCATTACAACCAGCTCAAATTTTAGCTTTTATAACTCATGCATTTGTTGTTGGTATCAGTTGCTACACAGGAAGTACAGTGGAAATTTCCTTGTGAACCTTTTGGGTAAATGGAAAGAATCTGAGTACTCAAGTGGCCACTCGGTCCCTGTTGGTGGTATCGCCTATTATATCACCGCTCCCTCAAGGTGATTATCTGTTCCTTTTAGGAAAATGATGCTTAGTCTGGCTTTGCTGATTTGAAAACTCACCAGTCGACATTTTGCTCTATCCTCCTGCAGCTTGGCTGATATGGCAGCCAATCCCTTCCATGCACTCTTCTATCTTGTGTTTATGTTGTCAGCTTGTGCACTGTTCTCCAAAACATGGATTGAAGTTTCTGGATCCTCTGCTAAAGATGTTGCCAGACAGCTCAGGGTATGGAGTGTGTGAAACTTTATTTCCCTTGTCAGAGTCTGCTCATAATTTGCACTGGTTCAAATAATGGGGTATCAGCAGTTTTATTCCTGCATTTTGTGTCTGTTTAGCTCGAGTGACCCTGGATATATCTGGTTCATTGGGAACATTTCCTTTTCGAATATCATCTTTTACGATCCCTATTGTCTGTTGAGCTTTTAAATTTCTGATGAGCTGATTTGCATCTTCCACAAGTTTCTATGTTTTGCTGGAGTCAACCACTTATGACTTGTTCTTTGTCATTTCTTTTGATAATCTCTAATTGCTTTCAAAATTGTCTGCCAGTCCTGATCTGCACCTTTTGACATGCAGATTTGCACTGTTCCATCTATTCCCTAACATCTCTCTTTCCTTGCCAATCTTAGGAACAACAAATGGTGATGCCAGGTCATCGTGAGTCAAACTTACAGAAAGAGCTCAACCGCTACATTCCCACCGCTGCAGCATTTGGAGGCATTTGCATCGGCGCACTGACTGTTTTGGCAGATTTTATGGGGGCGATAGGCTCAGGGACGGGGATTCTTCTTGCCGTCACCATCATTTATCAGTACTTTGAGACCTTTGAGAAGGAAAAAGCAAGTGAACTTGGGTTCTTCGGTTTCTGAGGTCATGCTCTTCTCTGGCCAAAGCTTGTTCAACCTCCAGTTTTGGTGAATCTGACAAATGCGAGTAGGACATACATGCTAGCTGAGAGATTGGAGATGATCACGATGCTCCTAGGAAATGCAGACGGGCAACATCTTAAGATTGTTTCGTTTCTTATTTATCACCTTCTTTCTGCAACCATTTTTTTGCAGTATGACTGGATCTGTACCGTTGTCGCAGCCCGATCCTATAGTTTTTCCAATTTGGAACTCGATAGCTTGTAGAATCGAGTGAAACTAGCAAATTAAGAGCGAGTAATGGGGACTTCAGTCTTAATATGAATATCTGTACTTTGTGCCGAGTTCTTTCCAGTTCTGCTCTGCAGGCCTATGGGGAAGTTCGTTATTTTCCTGGTGCCAAAAGGAAAGTGCATTATTTTCTTTTTTGCGATGTGCTTTGTTTCTGCACTTGATGATGGGACAGTCATTGGGTGGCTTTGTTTTCCGGCGAACGTCGTCTAGATGCATTGAATTTCGATTTCCACAAAGTCAATTGAATCGAGGCAATGGTTGCTGCACTAATGTTGGCTATGCAACCGTGAAAACTACTACTTTTCTCTATCGAGGTAGAGACTTTGGTTGATAAAGAGAATGGACAGTGGTTTTACATGCACCGGATGTTTCGTTGAACTCTTGGCGAATGCGTGTGCTAATGTTCGCCTTCGGAAACGACACGTTTCAGTAAATGAAAATTGAAGTATAGTGATTTGTATATTGGCTGATTGCTGCATGCCTTTGTCCTCCAATTCGAGATGCTCGTTTTTGGAGACAAAATCTCCTTTTTGGGCTTTCATTCGCTGCGGCTGTGTTTTCTAGTTGAAGGGGTTTCTTTCTTTCTTCCAAAGTGTTAGCAATACGCAGGCAAAAAGTGGACTCTAGTTGAAGGAATTGAAGTCCCTTTTGCCTATTGTTGGCATGGCATGCTTTCTTGTCTCCACTTTTCTTCTCAAGATTGTATCACAAGAGAACTTTGTTTTCTTTGTTCTTTTGGTCAATTCTAACCACACTAGGCGATCGAGTCAGAGAAGTATGCACACCCGATTCCGAAACGTGTTACAAGATTTCAAGAGAAATTTCGGTATTTCATTATTTTATTTTCTCTTTCATTTCCATTGCTCATGCCTAACATATTCCGATGCATTTGAATTGGTATGAAATAAGTAGATGGAAGTGGTGGGCATAATGGGTACTGCGGATTCAGCTTTCTTTTTTTTTTAATCTGATGATTACTAGATAAAAACAACATGGGAATTCGAAATAAATTAACCTTATTTTGAAACCTTTTCTTTTTAACATAAAATTTTCTTCCGCAGAGGACGTGAACATTTCTAAAAATTTATTTTAAAAAAAAGGAAAAAAGGTAATTTTCGTGGGTTCAAATTTGTTGACAGGTAGATAGGTCACTAGTACACTGCCACACTCACTCATTTTCAATATGGCAATTATGACGATTTTTGCGTATTTTGTTGCTTTGTTTTTTCGTATTGCATTTCTCAGACAGTAGTAGTAGCCCACTTGTCTTGTCTATGGAACCGAACGGTTTCTTTTCTTGTCCGTTCTCGTTCACATGAATCTCTTCCTCTGTCCTCGGGCTTCGCACTGTCGCTCTCTCTCTCGTCTCTCTTGTCTCTTGTCTCTGTCTCTGCGCCCATTGTCTCTGTCAACGTTTCTTCACTCTTGGCAGTCTGCAGAATAAATGGCAAAAGCCCAGCGAGTCCCTGCCTGTCCGGGGCGGTCCCTCTTCCGAGCTACGCGCTAAAGTCTTCAATCTACCGTAGCTGAAGACAGAGAGAGAGCTCACACGCAAAAGCTCAAATCTTTCGAGTGCCCTCCATCTTTTTACCTGTCGTTTTCAGACGTCGCTCACTGCTTGCTTTGCTTGCTCCCGAGAGAGAGCATTGCTGTATAGCCACGTGGGTGGTGGTGCCTTCGGCCTTTTCTTTCACCGAGGCAGGGAGCCGGAGATGATACGGTGCTCCTCCTCCTCTCGGGATTGTGAACGTTGGGAATGAGCAGAGAAGAAGTAGATAAACGCGCGCTCTCTCTCTCACTTGTTTTCTCGGGGTAACGTTAGAGGTACGATAGTTTCTGTTTTCTTGCGAATTCCCAGTCTAGTGTTGGCCTTCGTTTAGACAATGTCAATGACCGTCTACAACTATTATGTACTGTTTAGTCGTGGCTCAAGCCGCCTCTTCTTCACCTCTGAGATGAAGGAACGTGGTCATGCTCGACGGGGTTTTAAGTTTCTTACGATCTGAAGTTGTATTCGGTTCATGCTTTGTGTGACATGTCATACCTTGCGCTTGTGCTTGCTACACATGTCACCTGAGACTATTTGACAGGAATGTTTCTAGCCTAGTAGGAAATGGCATCTCATCTTCTTCTACTAGTATTGACTGTCTGCTCATAAGTAAATTCGTTCTCCTGGATTTATTTCTTAGTTAAGTTGGTGGGCGGAGAGATTTCAAACGTTGTTGATTCGAGAGTGGTCACATCATGACCAAGAGAGAAAGAATGTTAGGTAAAGCAATTACATGAGTTCCATGAGTTCTTCATGAATGTGAATTTTTTAAACAGTCTAGAGGATTGCAGCTTTTGGGCATCTTTCTTGAATCGCTCGCCTCATCCGAGGCTCCAACTTGTCTTCCTCGTTATTCTCTTTTCATCTTTTTTCACAACTTACTTGCTTTGCTTTGGAGTGTACTTTTTAACCCTTTTCAAAAGAAAGCAAAACAGAATCTTATAAAGCGAGAAGGACAATCTTAAGGAAATTTCGTTTCATCCTCAATTAATGGCCTCTTTCCGAGCATTAAAGCATGTCACTTTCTGCTTTCTTCACCATGCTTATCATAGCTCCTAGTGACCCGTTATGGTATCCTTGTTCTGTGACAACCTTAAGCTTCCGTTGAATGACTTGGTGATTGCAAATTATCATCTGATAATCTATTTCCATTACCTCTTTCCGCAGATGGATTCCGCTCAACAGTCTGCAGTTACTCCATCAAAGAATAAGTTTGTCCAAGCTTTCGCTAAGTTTCTCCACCTTCGAGCCACTACTGGGGTTGCCCCTCTTGATAATTTTGTTCGGAAAATCAAGCCCCAAGATAAAGTAACAAATGGTTTGCTAGAGGAAGACCGAAATTGGGATATTCAGCCTCAGTTTGATATTAAAGAAAAGGGTTCTCAGCAATGGGATGCCTTGGAGGTGCTTCTTGCTGAATTATTTGCCAGCATTTCGTCATTAAAAGCGGCATATGCCCACTTACAGTTTTCTCAGCGTCCCTATGATGGCGATGGGATTCAAGTGGCTGACCAGATCATTGTATCTGAGCTGAAGAATTTGGCTGACTTGAAGCAATCCTATGTGGATGAGCAGCTTGACCTTTCGCTCGAGATTTCTTTGCTGGCCGAAATCAAAGAGCAGAAGAGTATGGTAAAAACGTACGAAATTATGGTGAAGAAGCTGGAACGTCAGATTAAGCTCAAGGAATCTGAGATTGCATTTCTCAGGGAGAATTTGGAGGAATCAAGCTGGCAGAACAGGTTGCTCAACAAGAGCACAGAGCGAAGTTGGTCATTCTCTGTTCCCAAGAATATACACTTATCATGCTTGAACCATATCCATTTTGATGCATTTCTTAAGTACACTATTGAGTCCTTGCGGAGATTTGTTAGATCAATGGTTGACGAGATGAAATCCGCTTGCTGGGATCTCGAGGCAGCAGCTATTGCAATAGAACCCGGGGTGATTTATCAGAAAGAAGACCACAAATGTTTTGCATTTGAATCCCATGTTTGTCGGGAAATGTTTGATGGGTTCCAATACCCAGACTTTTCCCTGCCAAAAGAGTCCTTACCGCAGGAAAGTCAAAGGCGGCAACAGCTATTTTTCGACAGATTTGTGGAACTCATGTCTAGCGAGCCAAGGGATTCCCTTCGTGAGAATCCTGAATCAGCATTTGCCAAGTTTTGTCGGGTGAAGTATATGCGGCTCATTCACCCTCAAATGGAACTGGCTTTCTGTGGCAACTTAAGCCTCAGAAATCAGCTCAATGCCGGGGACTTTCCCGATACCACATTCTTTGCTATTTTCTTGGAAATGGCGAAGCGGATCTGGCTCCTGCATTGCTTGGGATTCTCGCTCGAAAATCATGCCTCCATTTTTCAAGTGAGCAGAGGGTGTAGGTTTAGTGAAGTATTTATGGAGACTGTGGCCAAGGAGGAGTTGCAAGCAGCAGACAATATGCTGGAAGAATATGACCAGCAGGTGGCCTTTACTGTTGTTCCTGGGTTCAGAATTGCTGGAACAGTTTTACACTGTCAGGTCTATCTAATGACTTCTAAACCAGTATGAGCCGCGGTTATGCCATTATGCTTTTAGGATTTAATTGTATTTTTTAGTGGAAGCCACAGTCTTGATCAGCCTAAGCGGATCATGGGAAGAAAGGAAAACCGCATGCCGGGTTGCTAAATGTGCCGTGGGGACATCAACATGGCTACACTTCTCTTTGTTTTACTTTTCATTTTCCTGAGATATAATTGTGCCTCATCATAGGTACTTTTGAAGAATGAAAATGCGAAGATCGGTTGTGTTGAGAGCCCACAGTGAATTTATTGACAGTTTGTTTAAAGACATTCCCAAGATCCTGTAATGTTAGGAGGATAGGGAAGGAGTCCTTCAGCTGTCTTCATCTTCACTGCCTTGTATGATGTATATTTGGATGAAATGCGTTCTAGTTGGAACTTATACGCGTATCTTTTGTAGCTTCACTTTGCATGCTTTTCATCTTTCAAACTGAGCTCCCTATTCTCTCTGAAAGGTTTTGAAGACGTATGCTTAATCCAACAGGTATGTATGGCAGCAGAACACTGCCCACTACTTCTTTTTAGACTCAATGGTCAGCCAACCCTAGCCCAAGATGGTACCTGAATTCTCAGTCTTGAATAATCCTTTAGCTCAGTGCACTTAGTGGTCATATGCTGGTACAAAAAGTACATCTTGAACCGTTTGTTTCATCTAAAACTTGGTCCATCATTTATCAATGAAGAATATGTCGGAAATGGGCAATGTTGCCCCGGAAATTTCACTTATAAAGCTTGCTTCATAAACTCTCTTACTGTTACACCTTCCCTGGCTTTTGCCTTTCATTTATCATTTTGAGCAGCCAAAAGTAAACAAAATCTTCTATGATATGCTGCTTATCAGAAATGAAATCTAACATATATATCTAGATTGTCTCTATTTGCATACACTATAATTTGTAGGTGAAGTAGTAAATATCCCCACGTCCAGGCAAAAACTGAGAAAAAGGAAGCTAATTTGTTCGATATCTTTTCGAGAACAAGCTCATAGAGTAGATTGAAGACGGGTCATCTTTGGATCAGTTACCGACTCCTGGACTTGGGACCGACTGCACCAATAGTCTGCCATCGTTGGCAACATGAAGACCAGAGAGTTTTTCCTGGTCAATAGCTGTCGAATGCCCTTCATAAGGAGGTGGTTTAATGCCACTAGATGCAGCACTCAGAAGCAGTCTCTCCTCTATCAGTGGCAATTTTCGGGCTTCTGAAGACGGCGGGCGGCAGATTATGATGATTAGAACAATGAAGATACGCAAGAGATCCCCGAGCTGAGCCATGTACCGGAACTACTATCTCTGATCAGAGGGAAGAAGGCAAAGGTTTAGGACTTACGCTCATGTTCAGGACAAGATTGGCAAGGGTGAGTTCATATGGTGGATATGAGGAGGCAGTGAGCTATTTATAACAGGGATTTGCACATGTTGGCGAGAAGAGTTAGAGACAGAAGGGTCATGTTAGTTGGCTAAGTCAGCGTGATTCAGACTAATTCAAGCATGAGGTTGCATTATGTAATCATGTAGTATTATATACAGATTCATGGTTTTGTGGAGGTTTGACTTTGGTGGCGAATATGATAAACCACCGGCCTCCTTTTTTTTTCCCCTCAGTTTTTTATCATGCATTTGTATTGCCATTATTCTCGATGGAGCCTAATTATCAAGACTCTTGAGGCTTGACTTAGTTTAAAAAGCTCTCATTTGGGTCTTTATTTGACGCAGCATCTGTAGGTCCAACTTAAATGATTCTTTCTACTTCTCCTAACTATCTCTGACTGAATCGGTTCAACCTCTTTGCAAGTAGCAGAGCTGTCCAAATTCCCAGTTCCGCTAAATAGCGCGACGTCACAATAATTCTTGTCGAGTTTTGATACAGACAGATGAGTTTCTTCAGGTATGGAAAACAAAGAAAAGCGAGTGAAAATGTGAAAAATGCACCTTTCTCAGTCCTTTTAAGCTCCAAGATAGCATCATGTGTTGCTGGTGAGAAGTATCTAATTAGCCGTCCGCTTATACAATAGCTATAAGTAAATGGCTGACTACTCAGTTAGTACTAATGCATCTGCAATATAATATACACAGTTGACATGATACTTCTCAGAAATCATATTCCGAATTCTGTATGCATATGAGATTTATGCCAGATGCGACAACGAAAGCGGACAAAAGGAGCGTTGATTCATTGTATCAAGTCAAACTAATTTTATAACTTGGCTAATGATGACATTTCTATAGGGCAAGAACCGGCTAATGAACTGCGTTAGAGGTTTTGACTTTTGATTAATTAATCTCTTTTATTTGGATATAAAAAGTGCTAGTCTGTTGGGATTGGCTTAGCATCAACGTGTGGATAACGTCGTGATCTCTCTCACATATGCTTTAAGGAAACCCAGAAAAGGAACAGAATTCCGACGCCTAACTACAATACTCCCATTCTATAGATATTATTTTGTTAATAGAGCGTCCAAAGTATTTAGTAAGCTTACTTAATAAAGATCTGTTCTTTTTTCAAAATATTGATTAGGCACAATTACCAAAGAAAGTCATAAACTCATTGTATAGATGTCAATTCAATTTTAAACTTTTCGATTTGATAAATTTAATCTTAAACATTTTAATAATTTGCTAAGGTTGGCCGAAAATCGTTGACATGGACGTTGGCCGTCAAACATGACATGGTTAATTTTTTATATTTTTTTTCTTTCTTTTCCATTTTTTCTACTTTAGTCCGGCGAGGGTCACAGCCCTCGCCCCACAATGGAAAAAGAAAAGAAACGAAAAAAAAATATAAAAATGTAAAAAAAATTCAGAACAAATTTAAAAAATGCAAAAGTTGTTAACATCAGTTTTGGCCATGACATGTAGGACAGCCGACGTTCATGTCAACATTAGTCGAACTGACTACATTGACAAATCACTAAAAAAATTAGGATTAAATTTGTCAAATTGAAAAGTTCAAGAATGAATTGACATATGTACAATAGGCTTACAACTATTTTTTTGATAATTTTCCCATTACGCATGATACGAAAAAGTTGGCGTCCTTAAACGTGCAAAACTTCGCTGATTTGGTTACTCAATAAGCATCTCGAAACACTCGCCGAAATTCTTTAGCAATTAGGATGATACAACACAAATCAAAGCATCACTCTTTCTTAACTTGACTGAGATCTGTTCATAAAAAGAAAAGGATGAAACGCTACAGTGACAGTAACTAAAGCTCCATGCTTAATCATCATGACATGATGTAACGAAAGAACAAACAAGATCCAGAAAAGAAGAAAGGGAAAGAGACAACATTAATGCGGGGTCAGTTCACTATTCCGAACAGTTTAACAGTGAAATCAAAAGCGAGCGAGGGGAATCTAATTCGAGTGATTGGAGACAAAAAGGAAAATCTGGAGTACGTGAAAAAAGGTGACGCCTTTACACCTTTAATGGACTGTTGTGCAGATTTCATGGACTCCAATGTCTGGAAATTCTCTTTGCTAAACACGGCACTGTTATGTCCACTGATGGGTCACTGTTCTTAATTCAAACCGCACTGCCTCACTTCATTCAAACCTCATTCTGCATGCGAGACATACACGTCGACTGATAGTTCCAAGTTCAATTCTGAGAACGAGTGCTGCAACTTTTATAGAGTGTTTGGTAGCCACGACATCTTAAGATTTCTTGTAAAAAGCTCTACTTCGACTTCAAAGCGTGCTGTAGTTGATGAAGGGGTCGATGGTTGTTCTTTCAGCCGAGCAATATTATGATTTTATTGTTTATTTCCTACTTTGTTGGGGTGAGATTTTCTTCTTCTGGTTTTATTAGGAAACTGAAATTCACTAGGATTAGGATTTGGTTTCCAACAAGCAATTGTTTTACAGGAACCACGGTTGTTCGGGATGGGCGTAGTCATGAATAGAAAGTAAAAAGCATCCAACTTCACGTTAATCAAAAGCGAGAAGCCAAAAATGAACCATCAAAAGCGAGAAGCCAAAAATGAACCATCAAAAGTAGATCAAAGCACAGTATAGGATTGCGCGAATGGTCAACATAGACCAAGTCAAATGATGAAGATTTTAAGATTTGGATTCGTTTGTATGATGTGATTGTTTAAGGAACCTTGAATGAAATTTCAACATCAATGGACTTGGATGAGTCAGGTTGACTCGCAAAATAAATTTTCAAATCCATTAATCATATGGAAAAAATTCAAGGGCTCGATCTACCGGTTACAAACATTGTCACATACAATGGCCAATTGAACATATTTATTACTCATTGGAATAAGCAACACTCAAGCGAAATATTTATTTATTTATTTTTTTTTTTTGTAACCCAGGGAACCCCCGCACGGCCGACAGCCGGGAGGTAAACCCTAGGGGCGACACGTGCTAGCCACCACACACGTGCACCGGTTAAGTCACCCTGCGGCGCCCGAGATTCGAACACTCAACCTTTTGCGAGAGGAAGAGTGCCCTTTCCAGCAACGCCACCATGCTAGCTACCACACACGTGCACCGGTTAAGTCACCCTGCGGCGCCCGGGATTCGAACACTCAACCTTTTGCGAGAGGAAGAGTGCCCTTTCCAGTAGCGCCACCCAGGCGGGTGGTGCGAAATATTTATTCATGAGAACTAAATACAAAATAATTTAGATTTACAATTTTCTATTATTTGATTGACCATTCGAAAATCAACAAAATCATTACCAAAAAAAAAAGAATCGTAATAAAAAGAGAGAAGGATTCCGTTGCCGGGACTTGAACCCGGGTCTCTCGGGTGAGAGCCGAGTATCCTAACCAACTAGACTACAACGGAGATGTTGCTTGAATACCACTTTATCTTATTTATTCAATATAAAAAGCAAAAACCCTACCATTTTCGTCAGAAAGCAAACCTCCCGCTCATTTCACTCAAAATTCACTCTTCCATTCTCTCTTCTTCACACTCTCTCCACCCGTGTTCAGAACAGAATTGCAACGAAGGAGAAGATAAGGGAAGAAAAGATAGAGAAGCTGAGAGGTTGGTGAGGGACTGTTGTTCCTGTGTTCAGAATTGCCGGAATAGTTTTACACCGTCAGGTCTATCTAATGACTTTCAAACCGGTGTGAGCCGCATACATGCCATTACGCTTTTAGGAAATTAATTTTATTTTTGAGTGGAAGCCATAGTCTTGATCTGCTTAAGCGGATCACGGGAATAAAGGAAAACCGCATGTCGGGTTGCTAAATGTGCCGTGGGGACTTCAACATGGCTACACTTCTCTTTGTTTACTTTTCATTTTCCTTCAGATATAATTGTACCTCATCATAGGTACTTCTGAAGAATGAAAATGCGAAGATTGGTTGTGTTGAGAACCCACAGTGAATTTATTGACAGTTTGTTTGAAGACATTC